ATTATCATTTATTATCATTTACTATCATTCGTTACCATTTATTGTAATTTATTATCACTTATCATTATTACTACTATTTGTATTATTATTATTGTTATAACTATTATAAGCCTACAAATTGAGTGGATTCACTTAGTATAGAGCTCCGCAGAGTGCCTGACGCACCACTGAGAAGACTTACTTGCAGCACAAGTCGAGTTGCATTCTGTTACCACCTCGTAGTTCTTTGAGATCTTTTGAACAGAAGAACGGAGAATCGTCCCGAACGGCATTTCGGTAGTAGGAATAGGAAACCTGGAATTTAATTATTTAAAGATTCTAGAAATCTGAATCGGAGGCAAATGGTACCAACCTGGGCGAAAACTGTTCCCTTTCCGGACGCTTTGACATCAACACTTGAATCGATATTTGGAAGCTGAAATAGGAAGACTTATTGCAGCCTTAGGGCCCTATTGAGGGGATCTTATTACGGTCGAACTGCCTCACCTCGTAGCTCTGTAGAACAATAGCGTTTGATGGTGTCACTCCGAATGTTTGACTATCGGCTCCGTTCGTTACCGTAACCGTTACGTTCGAGTCGGCCGAGTAAGCGTGTTCCGCATAACTTCCTAGGGCCTGTAGTGCGATTACTGTATCCTGAGTAGATGAGAAGCCTCCATAGGCGTTTCGTTGGCCTGTTAGCCATCGCACAAGTGGGAGACCCTGAAATTCCCACTGCTTACTAAAGAGTTACCTCTTTTACCATAAAAATGGACGATGAAGAACTGTTTCCGAACCAACCCGCTCAGTGTCACCATCAAGCATGTAGTTTAGCAGTACGTAGCCGGTTGTCTCAACATCTACAGGCCGAGGTTGATAGAAGTACTGCGTGGTGTCCTTTGATTTGTCAATACCTTTCGATGAAGACCAGTGGATTGTGCCATCTGAAAAAGGGCTCCTTTAAATTGAAGAGGGCTACTATCAACAATAAATTAAAAGGTAAAGTCCTTGGCGTGAACGTTTGGATGCGCCCCGCGTTCGGCTTCCATTCAGAATCGTGAAGCGTTTGAATGCGT